CGCAGGCCAACAAACCTGGACTGGTCCCATGGCCATCGGGAGCCACGTGTGGTGTTTGAGCTGCGGAGGTACCTCTGACGGGAGTGTTTTTTGTGCGTTTGTTTTTTTGTTTTCTGAGACAGCGTCTTGCTCTGTCGCCCAGGCTGAAGTGCAGTAGCGCCATCTCGGCTCAATGCAATCCCACCTCCTGGGTGCAAACGATTCTCCTGCCTCAGCCTCCTGAGTAGCTGGGATGACAGGCACCCACCACCACACCTGGTTAATTTTTGCATTTTTAGTAGAGGCAGGGTCTCTCCACGTTGGCCAGGCTGGTCTCAAACTCCTGACCTGAAGTGGTTCGCCCACCTCGGCCTCCCAAAGTGCTGGGGTCACAGGTGGGAGGCCGCACATCCAGCCAACGGGGCTGTTTTAGGGCCCAGCTCACCTCCCTGTGTTCTCACACTGCCCAGCAGGCCAGGTCTTCAGGGCCGTGCCGTGGTGATGAGCAGCACAGCCCCCAGCAGAGGCCTGGCAAGGCTTTGCTTCCTGGAGCAAGGGGGTTGCAAGTTCTAGCTCAGAGGCTGCAGACAACAGACAATGAGCCAATGACAAACATCTTCTGGCTCAGGGACATGGGGCCAGGGGTCCCTGTATGCCCTGTGCCAAACTACAACCCACATCCCATCCTGGAGGCCGAGGGTGGCACCTCAGGGTGAGATCCCTAGAACCGCGCAGAGCCCGCAGCTCTGGGTCCTAAAGGCTCCCCGAATAAATGCAAACTGTTTTATTGCAAAGGCGGTATTGTCAGCCCCAAGGGACAGAAAGGCAGTTTAAAGTGGCTTCATCTCCCTGTGGAGGAGGAGTTCAGGCACAGCTGGATCCAGGGACCTCCAATGTCACTGGGAATTGCTGTTGTCCCCTTTAGCTCTGTGGCCCACTGGGCTGGCCTGACCAACATGGAGAAATTCCATCTCTTCTAAAAATACAAAAATTAGCCGGGTGTGGTGGCATGCGTCTGTAACCCCAGCTACTCAGGAGGCTGAGGCAGGAGAATCCCTTGAACCCAGGGGGCAGAGGTTGTCATGAGCTGAGATCACACCACTGCACTCCAGCCTGGGTGACAAAAAAAAAGTAAAGAAAACGGGCATAGAGGGGTCCCAGGGCCTGGTACACAGTGGGCATCAACAGCTGCTTTAACAAATCTGCACAGACTACGTGGTTTCAAGCCACACACGGGCGGGGCGCGGTGTCTCACGCCTGTAATCGCAGCACCGTGTGAGGCCGAGGTGGGCAGATCACCTGAAGTCAGTTCAAGACCAGCCTGGCCAACATGCGGAAACCCGGTCTCTACTAAAAATACAAAAATTAACCGATCGTAGTGGCAGGTGCCTTTCATCCCGGCTACTCGGGAAGCTGAGGCAGGAGAATCACTGGAACCCGAGGGCGGAGGTTGCAGTGAGCCCAGATCGCACAGCTGCACTCCAGCCTGGCTGGCAGCGCCAGACTCCATCTGAAAAAAAAAAAAAAAAAAAAAAAAAAAAAAAAAAAAACAGAAAAAAGAGTTCCACATGGGTCTGGCTGGGGGAAGATCAAGGTTTTGGCAGAGCTGCGTTCCTTCTGGCGGCTGCAGGGGAGAATGTGTTCCACGCCTTTCCCAGCTTCTAGAGGCCGCCACATTCCCTGGCTCCAGCCCCTCGCTTCATCTCCAAAGGCCCCAACAGCAGCCAAGTCCTTCTCTGTTCTGTCTCTAACCATAGAGAGCAGGTGGTCTCTCTCTGTCTCTCTTTTTTTTTTTTTGAGATGGCATTTTGCTCTTGTCGCCCAGGCTGGAGTGCAATGGCGCGACCTCAGCTCACGGCAACTTCCGCCTCCCGAGTTCAAGCGATTCTCCTGCCTCAGCCTCCCGAGTAGCTGGGACTACAGGCATGAGCCACCACACCCGGCTAATTTTGTATTTTTAGTAGAGACGGGGTTTCTCCACGTTGGGCAGGCTGGTCTTGAACTCCCGACCTCAGGTGATCTGCCCATCTTGGCCTCCCAAAGTGCTGGGATGACAGGCGTGAGCCACCGCGCCCGGCCTGAGATGGAGTCTCACGGTGTCACCACGATAGAGTGCAATGGCACGATCTCAGATCGCTGCAACCTCTGCCTCCTGGGTTCAAGCGATTCTCCTGCCTCAGCCTCCCAAGCAGCTGGGAGTGCAGGCCCGCGTCACCAGGCCCGGCTATTTTTTATTGTGTTTTTAGTGGACGGGGTTTCACCACGTTGGCCAGGCTGGTTTCGAACTCCTGACCTCAAGCGATCTGCCCATCCAAAGTGCTAGAACCACAAGTGTGAGCCACTGCACCTGGCCAGGCGTCTCCTCCTCCAAGGACCCTTTGAGGACAGTGGGCCACACAGAGAACCCAGGATGAGCTCCTGCCTGAAAGTCCTCAACTCAGTCCCATCTGCAGAGCCCTCGTGGCCAGGGAGGGTGGGACACCCATGGGTTCCAGGGAAGAGGACCCCGTGGTCTCTGGGGCTGCGTTCTGCTGACCAACCCTGACTGCACCGCCATCACTCACAGCGCGCGCGTCTGTGCCCAGCGGACACCCCGGCCGTTCCACGAGTCTCAACGTCCACGTCCCTTTCCTCTGGAAAGTCTTCCTCAGCGTCTCCCAGGCTGGGTCGGGCCTGGGGCACCTTTGCTATCTGGGCATCCTCTGACACACAGCAACATGGGATTCTCAGTCTGTTTCTCTGTCGGGGTTTACCTCGAGGGAGACGGACGCCTAGGGAGGTGTGCAGAGGCACGGGGCGCCGCGGTGGGAGTCTGAGCCAGGGAGAAGGCTTACGGGTGGGAGAGAGGCGAGCTGCAGGGGCCAGGCGGGGGGCTGGAAGTCCTAGGATGAACCCCAGCCTGGACAGGATGGGGAGAGGGACAGAGGCAGGAGGGGTCTCAGGAGGAGGGGGCGTCCCAGAAAGGGTCAGTGACCTATTTGAGGTCACCCCGCGCACAGCCTCTGGGTTAGGGAGGAAGACAGAGCCGGGAGCAGGAGGCCACTGGCAGCGAGCCTCGGTTTCCCCGGAGAGGCCGGAACCCACGTCAGCCAGACAATGACCCTTTGATATTAGCACAGCCCGGGCCGGAGCGGCTGAGCTACAGTGGGGTCAGGTTTTGGCCGAGGTCATACTGTCCAGCCCCCACATACCCTCAGTGAGAACACAGGGTCCTGTCCCTGCCCCACTCCCCAACTCGGGGAGAATCCCGGGGGAATGCCAGGGGGCCAAGGCCAGGGCAAGACAGCAGGGTGCCCTCCCTCAGTGCCACTAGGGTAGGAACTTGGCCCCTGGCCACAGACTGCTGGGGGACACAGTCCGACTGGGCAGCTAAGGTCAGGGGAAGGGTGTGGGTGTGGATTCTGTAGGCACAGATCTCACTCATGCCAGGCAAAGAGGCTGTGCCGTCAGGCTGCTGGACACCTCGGTTTCCACACCTGGGGGGGGTAGTGCCGGAACAGCGGGCGACCAGACGCAGGCGTCCCCAGGAGATGCCCAAATGCGCGCCACCACATCAGCCTTTTTTATTTCCTTAAAGCATTTACCACTCTTTGAAGTTATAGATTAATTTGTCTTTGAGGCAGGGCGCGGTGGCTCACGCCTGTAATCCCAGCACTTTGGGAGGCCGAGGCGGGTGGATCACGAGGTCAGGAGATCAAGACCATCCTGGTCAACACGGTGAAACCCCCGTCTCTACTAAAAATACAAAAAATTCCCCGGGCGTGGTGGTGGACAACTGTAAGCCCAGCTACTCAGGAGGCTGAAGCAGGAGAATCGCTTGAACCCCGGAGGCGGAGGTTGCGGTGAGCTGAGCTGGCACCAGGGCACTCTAGCCTGAGCAACAGAGCGAGACTCCTGTCTCAAAAAAAAAAAAAAAAAAAAAAGAAGATTAACTGATCTTCGTATTGCGTTGTCTATGGCTTCTCCAAACCAGAAGCTCGGTGAGGGACTGATGGGGTCTGCCTTGGTCCCCTGGTACGCCAGCCCCTGGAGGGTCCTTCCTGCCACCAGATGTTCGCCTACAGTTCCCTGGAAGCAGGAGCACAGAGGCCTCCGCAGAACCCCTGAGCTGTCAAGGGCGCCCTGGCAAACCCAGAGGCCCCCAGGCCCGAAACCAGCTCCACAGTAGGAAGTTCTGTGTGGCTGCCCCAGAGCCCCCTCGGGCAGAGCGCCTCCAGGCCCACGCAGATGTCGCTGTCATAAACTGTGGGAAACGCCTCTGCTGGAAACTGCCTCTGCTGAGTCTCAGAGGGAGAGGGAAAAAAAGCCAGTAAACATTCTTGTTGATGTGACCCGCGGGAACGTTGGCAGAGGCCTGGCGGGCTGGGGGCAGCGTTGCCCGGGGGCCCAGGACCGACGCCAGGCGGGCGCACACGCACTCACACGCAGAGGCCTCCCTGGGGGCCTTGCTGGGCGAGGCCTGCTGTTGTCCACGATGCTGGGAGGAGCCGTCTCTGGGTCTGTCCCAGCCACACCCCGTCTGTCCCGCACCCAGCCTCTCCCCACCCACATGCCGGCTCCAGCGGCCAGGTGGATGGGTGGGCGCCTTGCAGGGTGAGCGGGGAGCCATGTCTGGCTGGGGATTTCGGCGCGTGGGGTGGGTCAGGCCCGAGGAGGCCGGGCTGGGGGCTCAGGGCCAGGAAAGTGACCACGTGGAAATCGCAGAAGCGGGGTGCAGGGATCCACAGACGTGTCCTCCGGGGTCCTGCTGGCCAGCGGCCACCCCCGCAACTGAAGACCCCCAAACCCACTCTGACCCCTGGAGGCGGCCCCTCCATCCACCCGAAAGGCCGCCACCACCTCGAACTCACAGCCCCGTCCCTCTCCGCCTGGGAACAGCCGCATCTCCCCAAACGCATTCCCCGGCTCTGGGAGGGGGCCCGGGCGCGCGCCCCCCGCTGCCCACCCCGCGCGGGACCGGCCTCGCCCCCGCCACTCCCGCGCCGCGCCCCGCCCCGCGGCCCGCCCCGCCCGCGGCCCGCGGGACCTTTATAGGGAGCGCCGGCCGCGCGCTGGGAAGTCGGTGCCGCCGCCGTCTCCGCGTTCGCCATGCGTCCCGGGGCGCCAGGGCCACTCTGGCCTCTGCCCTGGGGGGCCCTGGCTTGGGCCGTGGGCTTCGTGGGCTCCCTGGGCTCGGGGGACCCCGCGCCCGGTGAGTGGGGCGGCCGGACGGGAGGGCGGGGCGGGCCGCCCACGTGGGGCTGCCCGGATTGCGGGCCGGGGGATGTCGGGGGGCGCGGGCGGGGTCCAGCGCGCACTGAAGCCAGGAGGGCCTGGAGGGGTCACCAGCGGGTCAGCAGAGCGCAGGCTTCCCACCACAACGACCGCTGACGTTTCCTGGGCGCTTAGTGTCCACCTCGTCCCTCCCTGAACCCCGACGACCCCAGTAGTGCCCGGGGCGCTCTTCATCTCCATCTTCCAGATGGGGAAACTGAGGCTCAGGGTCACACAGCCTGTAGGCGGCAAAGCCAGGATTCGGGCTGCGACCATTTGGGTCGGTCCTGGTGTCCCGAGCGGCATCTCTGGGTGTCTGGAGCCAGGCCCTCCAGAGTCCTGGGTAGACGGGACATGGAGACTCACAGCTGGGACTTGCTGGGAGGTGCCAGGCTGGAGACAGCCTCACTTCTGGCCTCAGTTTCCCCTCCTATGATGGGTGCCAAGTTCCCCAAGCTGGTTCCTGGCAGTGTCTGTGAACCAGCAAGTGCTCTGAGAAGGGGGCTGTGGCCATTCCTGCCCCCAGGGATGGGGGAAGAAACGGGGGGCTCTCTGCCTCCCCACTCCCCATCCCTGCAGCCCCACTCCACCCCAGCCCCACGCCAAAGGGAGAGCAGAGCCCCCTCCCCGAAGGCCACGTCCCTGGGGAGACAGTGAGCTCATGCAAGGGGAATGTTCCCAAGTTGGAGTGAGTAAGAGGCGGGCCCGGTGGTGGGGGGGGCTGCCAGGCGCGGGGCTCCAGAGTGCCTTCGTCCTCGGGTGCTGTCTAGACAGAGGGCAGGGTGGGAGAAGCGGCTCCCAGGCCCACTGACCCTGACGTGCCCAGTGCCTGGTGATTGGTGGTGTCTGAGGGGTTGGGCAGGGTGCCAGTCCCTGGCCTGGGGGCTTGGAGGGAAAGGGGAGGGCCTCCCGGGATGGGTGGGGGTTGGTGGTGAGGCTGCAGGGGGCCTTGGAGCTCAGAGGGGAGGGGGATCTCCAGGATCCAGAGCCAGGGTGGGGACACCCACGTGGTTTCCTGTCCCTTCTTCCTGGGTTGGGGTAGATCATCCCTGCGTAACTCCTGAGCACCACCTGCATGCATCTGTGGGGGGGGCTGGAGGCTGGGTGTCACGAGGGGCCCAGGAGAGCACCCCGTCCCTGTGCCTGCAGCTGGCGTCTGCTGGCTGCAGCAGGGCCAGGAGGCCACCTGCAGCCTGGTGCTCCAGACTAACGTCACTCGGGCCGAGTGCTGCGCCTCCGGCAACATTGACACCGCCTGGTCCAACGTCACCCACCAGGGGAACAAGATCAACCTCCTTGGCTTCTTGGGACTTGTCCACTGCCTCCCCTGCAAAGGTGAGACCCTGGGCACTGGCCCCAGACCAGAAGCAGGGCGGGCATCTCAGCTCAGGATCAGCTAACAACAGTCAAGGTGGTCGAGGGCAGGACGTCCGAGAGTGAGCTCCCCGTCACAGGGGTATGCAGGAGGCTGCAGGGGGCATCCCAGCCTCAGAAAGGGATTGGGGGGGACTTCCCAGGTCCCACATTTCAGCCTCTTGCAGCTCAGGACTCAGGAAGAGGCTCTGAGGACTCCCCAGTTGACTCCAGCCTTTGCTGGGGCTGAGCTCTCTGCCCGGGTGGCTCTTCCCACCTGGACGACAGAGGCCTGCTCACAGCTCCTGGGAAGGTGCGTTTGCCATGTTGGCCTGTGACCCCAAATGTCCACACCAGGGCCCTTCACTGCAGACTCCAGGGCCTGGGGTGGGGTCACGGCTTCGTGTTTAATGAGCATTTGCTGTTCTGAGAGGATGCCTCCCACATAAGACTCGGGGCTCTTGATGAGGGGCACAGAACAAATGGATGAGTTAAGATCCACTCCCTGAACTGGAGGATGACGGGTTTTTCCCCCCGAGACGGAGCTTCCCTCTTGTTGCCCAGGTTGGAGCGTAGTGGTGCAATTTCGGCTCACGACAGCCTCCACCTCCCAGGTTCAAGCGATTCTCCTGCCTCAGCCTTCCAAGTAGCCGGGACTGCAGGCATGCACCACCATGCCCAGATAATTTTGTATTTTTAGTAGAGAGGGGGTTTATCCATGTTGGCCAGGCTGGTCTGGATCTCCCAACCTCAGGTGATCCACCCACCTCAGTCAGCCTCCTGAAGTGTTGGAATTACAGGCGTGAGCCACCGCACCTGGCCCTTTTTTTTTTTTGAGATGAAGTCTCGCTCTGTCACCCCCAGGCTACAGTGCAGTGGCGGGATCTCGGCTCACTGCAACCTTCGCCTCCCGGGTTCAAGCAATTCTCCTTCTTCGGACTCCCCAGTTCTGGGACTACGGACATCCCCGCCACCATGCCCGACTAATTTTTATATTTTTGGTAGAGACAGGGGTTCACCACATTGGCCAGGCTGGTCTCAAAGTCCTGACCTCAGGTGATCTGCCAGCCTTGACCTCCCAAAGTGCTGGGATGACAGGCGTGTGCCACCGTGCTCAGCCTGGTGGGGCACTACTTGAAGAGGTGGGCATTACAGGGGATGATTAGGAATTTGCCAGATGGAGCTAGTATGGGAGAGGGGATCAGGAGAGACCATGGCTGAAGGCTAGGTCCTGGTGGGTGGGGTCAGGCAGAGCCCGGGGGAGGCTGGAGCGGAGGGCTGGAGACAGGCAGGCCAGGATGAGAAACCCTGCTGGCCTCTGAGATGTGATTAATCCCACATCGGCCTGGCTGGGTGGTCCTGAACTCACTGCCACACACTCCTGCTCCCTCCAGATCCCCTCTGGCTTCTGGGAGGACAGACTTCAAAAAGTGCGTGGCCTGGGCGTAACACGGCCTGGGACCCCCGCTCCCAACCTCATCTGGCCCCGGGGATGGGAGCTCAGGCCCCCTCCGTGCTCGCTTGCATGAAACCACCCTGGCAGAGCATTTCCAGATGTGCCTGTGAGCCACTGTGTGTGGGGACGCCCAGGTGCGGCCCACATGCCCTGTCGGGGCTGCGTGGGGGGCGCCGACAATCCTCTAAGTGGGAGTCACTCCCCATCAGCCCCGCTTTACACACAGAGAAACTGAGGCTGGCACATAACTCCAGAGCTGTGCTCAGAGCCCCCCCCCAGACCCTCCAGACAACAGGAAGGGGGTCGGTCATCTGGGTCCTGGCTGCAGCTTTCAAGCTGAGGTGCTTGGTCCCCTGCACTCACATCTGCGACCAGGCCTCAGTTTCCCCATCTGTAAAATGACGACTTGGGAGGATGCAACGAGCGTGGGAGGCGATGGGCAGCGTATTAAAGGCGGGGGCGGGGACCCCAATTTCCCTAGCAGGACCTCAGTATCCCTGCCCCAGCGCTGGGAACTCCTGGGTCGGAGGCCTAGGGCTGCGAAGGGCCCCCTCCCCTGGAAACGCTCCCCAGGCCCTCCGCGACGCCTCCTGGGGGAAGGTCCTGGCAGCCCCAGACGCGCGCCTGGCGAGGACGGAACACCCCGGGCTGACGCAGCCGGGCCCCCTCCGGCCTTCCCAGAAGCGCGCGTGCATCGGCACAGACGTCAGCCAGCTGCGAGGGGGCGCGGCCCAGGCCGTGCAGCTCGGCCGGACCCCGATTCCGGGCGGGGACCCCAGCCCTCGCCCCCCGACCCCAGCGCAGGCGCCCCCGGGACCCGGGACCCCGGACCCCGCCCCCGGGAGCCCGAGCGCCCCGACCCCGACCGACCCTGCCCGGGGCCGGCGCCCCCGCCTCCGCCCTGCAGGGGGCGCGCGGGGACGGGCCCCGAGGCCTCCGCGCGGCCCCGCGCCCCGGGCCCCTCCCCGCCCCGCCCCGCGCCCCTCCCCGCGCCGCGCCGCGCCCCGCGCCCGGCCCCACGCGCGTGTCCTGTGTCCGCAGATTCGTGCGACGGGGTGGAGTGCGGCCCGGGCAAGGCGTGCCGCCTGCTGGGGGGCCGCCCGCGCTGCGAGTGCACGCCCGACTGCGCGGGGCTCCCGGCGCGCCTGCAGGTCTGCGGCTCGGACGGCGCCACCTACCGCGACGAGTGCGAACTGCGCGCCGCGCGCTGCCGCGGCCACCCGGACCTGCGCGTCATGTACCGGGGCCGCTGCCGCAGTACGTGGGGGCGGGGCCTGGGGCGGGGCGGCCGGACCCGCGCGTCACGTACCCGGGCTGCTGCCGCAGTGCGTGAGGGCGGGGCCGGCTGGAGGGGCGTGGCCGCTGCCGCAGTGCTGAGGGGCGGGGCCTCCGGCCGAGGGCAGGCCACATGGGTTGGGGTGGGGCCTGATGAAGGATTAAGGGCGCTTTTATACTTCCGAGGGGCCTCCGGGGCTCACATTGGGCAGGAGATCTGTGGCGTGATTAGAGTGGAGGGGCTCGTGGGGGCAACCAGGGTGGCAAGATGGAACCGAGGGTGAGGCTGTAAGGGGCGGGGCTCTTGGCAGGGGCGTGGTTCCTGGGTGGAGACGGGCGGGTCTGTGGGTGGAGCTTTAGTGGGCGGGGCTCGAGGAGGCGGGCTTGTGGGTAACACAAGGGGCGGGGCTCATGAAAGAGGTGTGGCCCCTGCGTTCAACGGGTGGGGCAGCGCTTGTGCGTGAAGCCTGATGTGTGGGCGGAGCTGGTGGAGGGGCGGGGCTTTGTCGTTGGTAAGGGGTGGAGCGTATGGCTAACGTAACAGACGGGCCTTCTGAAAGGGCAGTGACCCCTGGGTACGATTGAGGGGCGGGGCTTGTTGGTAACAAGGGGCGAGGCTCATGGAAGGGGTGTGACTCCTGGGTGCAATGGGAGGAGCATGGCTTGGGGGTGGAGCCTTATGTGGGCGGAGCTTTGTGGGTGGTAAGTGGGTGGGGCCTATGGCTAATGCAAGGGATGGGGCTTCTGGAAGGGGAGTGACTCCAGGGTACAATTGGGGGAGGGGCTGGTGGGCGCTGTAGGGGGTGGGACTTGTGGGTAACATAAGGGGCGGAGCTCTTGAAAGGGGTGTGGCTCCTGGGTACAATCGGAGGGGCGGGGCTTGTGGGTGGAGCCCGAGGGGTCGGGTGGAGGGGGGCTTACGGAGGTGGCGGGGCTTCTGTCTCCCACCAGAGGGTTCTTGAAACTTGGGGTTCAAGGGCTGGCCTTCGGGCCAAGAGCCCTTCGGGGTTCTCAGCAAGATGCCCCCTGAAACGCCCCTGGCACCCGGCCTGCAGAGTCCTGTGATCGTGTGGTGTGCTCACGGCCGCAGTCGTGCGTCGTGGACCAGACTGGCAGTGCCCACTGCGTGGTGTGTCGGGCGGCACCCTGTCCTGTGCCCACCAGCCCCGGCCAGGAGCTCTGCGGTAACAACAACGTCACCTACATCTCCTCGTGCCACCTGCGCCAGGCCACCTGCTTTCTGGGCCGCTCCATCGGCGTGCGCCACTCAGGCAGCTGTGCAGGTGCAGACGCAGGGCGGGGGAGACAGGCCTGTCCTGGGGAACAGAGAGCCCCCTGCCCTGCGCCCTCATTGCTCTTATCGACACTTGCAGGCACCTTTGTAGGCACCCCTCAGGAGCCCCCAGATGGTGAATCGGCGGAGGAGGAAGAGAACTTCGTGTGAGCCTGCAGGACAGGCCTGGGCCTGGCGCCCAAGGCCCCCCACCACCCCCTGTTATTTATTGCCACAGCAGAGTCTAATTTATATCCCACGGACACTCCCTAAACCTGGATTCAGACCACTTCCGGGGATCCCAAAACCCCCTGACGATATCCTGGAAGGATTGAGGAATGGAGGCCTGGGGCTGGCTGGTGGGTGGGATGGACCTGCGTCCCGGGCACTGAGGGCTCAATTTAGGCCCTACCCTGAGTCCTATTGCCAGGGAGGACCCCACATTTCTGCTTCTTTGGGGATAACCTATTAATTATTCCTATCTTCAAGAGGGCTGGGCATTCCCTGCTGGTAATTCCTGAAGAGGCATGACTGCTTTTCTGAGCCCCAAGCCTCCTAGAACCGGGGCCTTGGGCTCAGGCCAGGAGGTGCAGAGGAGGTCTAGCCTGGGTGTGAATGAATGGTCTAGCCTGGATACGTACAGATGGTCTAGCCTGGATGTGTACAGATGGTCTAGCCTGGGTGAATACAGATGTTCTAGCCTGTGTGTGAATGAATGGTCTAGCCTGGGTGTGAATGGATGGTCTAGCCTGTGTGTGAATGAATGGTCTAGCCTGTGTGTGAATGGATGGTCTAGCCTGGGTGTGAATGAATGGTCTAGCCTGGGTGAATACAGATGGTCTGGCCTGGGTGTGAATTGTCTAGCCTGGGTGTGAATGGATGGTCTAGCCTGGATATGTACGGATGTTCTAGACTGGATGTGTACAGATGGTCTAGCCTGGGTGAATACAGATGGTCTGGCCTGGGTGTGAATGGATGGTCTAGCCTGGATATGTACAGATGGTCTAGCCTGGATGTGAATGAATGGTCTAACCTGTGTGTGTATGGATGGTCTAGCCCAGGTGTGAATGAATGGTCTAACCTGTGTGTGTATGGATGGTCTAGCCCGGGTATGAATGAATGGTCTAGCCTGGATGTGTACAGATGGTCTAGCCTGGGTGAATACAGATGGTCTGGCCTGGGTGTGAATTGTCTAGCCTGGGTGTGAATGGATGGTCTAGCCTGGATATGTACAGATGGTCTAGCCTGGGTGTGAATGGATGGTCTAGCCTTGATGTGTACAGATGGTCTAGCCTGGGTGTGAATGGATGGTCTAGCCTTGATGTGTACAGGTGGTCTAGCCCGGGTGTGAATG